AACCCCAAGTGCCCAGACTGCAGCTCTCCACAAGAAGTGGAGAAATGGCCATGCCTAACTGATCCTGGTATCTTTCAAGAATTTTTTCCCCTCACTTTCGTCAATTGGTATAGTTTTGTTCCTCTCCACTGTCACCACTGGCTTGCCTGGTTTGGGACTTGTGGAGCTGCACATTGATGGATTTGCTCTTCAGTGTTTGGACTTTCAGCTGTAAAAACTAAACCACTCTAAACTGAACTAAATTAAACTCTGAAAAATGGACTCACAGTTTCAATTTCAATTTACTAGAACGTCCATGCTTAGCTGCTTTGACACAATCTGCATTGTAAAAGTGCTATAGAAATAAAGATGGATTGAGAAATGTCTTTCCTACTGAAGTGTGAAATTGTCTGTCAATTATAAACTTTTTATCTAAGGTGGTGATTAGTTTTTTGGTTAACAGATGACCAGACGGAGATCTTGGTGAAGCTTTTATTATCTTGAATTTATGGTTGTTTGTTCTGAGTTGAGAATTTTAGGGAAATATGCAAAAATGTCATTGGGATCTTGTAAGGAAGATACCTCGTTGCACTGTGTGAGTCTTGAGCTTTGGCATCAAAATATATTGGCTGCAACCACCTCTGACTCTTCATCTTTGGGTAATTGATGTACTGAATTGGGTTTTTTGATACTGTAATTGGTTTGTTAAGTGAGCAACATATCTGAGTAGGGGCATGTGCGCATGAGACGTACCTGAAGAGTGGTGGGGGTGAGTTGCACGCAACGTACCTGAAGAGCATTGGGGGTGAGTTGCGCGCGGGTCTCCCGCAACTTCCGGGAGACTTAGGATGTCTGCATGAAGCCCTTTTAATTTCTGTTTAATCACTGATTTAGCAAGTATTGTATGGAATTGTAGTACGAGTAAGCAGTAGGCAAGTGGATTAATTGGATATTAGTAAACCCTGCATCTGCATCCTCTTACTAACATCAGAATGTTGAGATCCTGTCTGTGAGAATGTATGCAAAGCCCAGATAACTCTCTGTGGCATTGGGTCCTTAATGAACACATAACTAAAGAGTATGGGAACAGATATAAATCAAAAACTCTAAATTGAGTCATAAACTATGCATGTGATCCGTTCTTACAATTAGAAATACATTATAAATTTGACAGTCACTTCGGAGTAAATTCGGAGCTGAAAACAAATATAAATGAATTCTAATAAAAAAGAAAATCCTTTTTAGTGCTTCATGCTGGTGGCTAAATGTGATCTGCTCAGTATTCTTGTTACAGAACAGTTTTAACTTTTTTGATGAATGTTTACTTTTATTATTCACTGTTAAAATGACTAACAGTCCTGATTATTTGTGTGATTTTAAGTTTTTATATTATGTAAATGTATTTTGTAATGTTAGTTCAGATTTATTTCCACCAAAAACACAGTGCACAGTGACTTTAATTCATTGTCAATGGTGCAAAATAGACTCAAAATAGACCAACATTTGCTTATTTTATGGACAGAATGTAAATTAGTGATTGAAGTCATGGAAGAAATCTGTAATCTAAAAGGAAAGCATTGTAGACTAAATGATCCCTTTGCTGTAGTTCCTAAATTTTTTTTAAAGATGATTGTTTCATGCTGGCTGTACTAAAATTTTATCAACACATTGCATATATTACTTATGGATTATTTTAATCATACAATACACTTAGGGCTCTATTTTGACGGTCCATGCACAAAACAGAAAGCGCAGGGCACAAACAATTTCAGGGCATGTCAGAATCCATATTTGCTAATTTAAGGACGGGAAAATCCGCTCATCTTCCATTCCCTTTAAGAGCCAGCTGCGTCGCGCCATAAGTGCATTTGCTATTTACAGTATGTAAAGTAAGTGGAAGTGGAAAAACTGAGCATTTCACAAGCAAACAGTTAACAGTTTGTTTTTTTTTACAGAAAACAGTTAAACAGAGCATCTACCGGCGCAAGAATGAGAGATAATTGATCTACTTTCACTTTCGCTCTTGGATAGGGAATACTTTACGCACAGACATCAATTAGCCTATAAATAATTAATTTTGTTTGTTAAGCGCAAATATTTGTTTCAAAACTATTTCTAAGTTCAGTTCTAGTTTCCAGCAAACGAATAAATGAACAATAATAATGAAGTGTGTTCAAAAACCTGAGTTATATCCTAAAACACATGCTGTGCCCCATATGGTCTTAAACCTCCAGGTGGGCAAATCTAAGCTTGTTTTTAATAAAACAAATGTAAATATGGATATAATAAATAATACTGCTAATAATAATAACATTATACAAAAGCAAATTGTTATGAATGAACTGAAAAAGCCTCCCAAGATGAAGAAGGCATAAAAGCAGTGTTTTTTTTATATTTATGTAGAATCGAAAATAATGTTTTGTAATATTTTAATCCTTTATATTTATATCGTATATATATTCCTATTATATCCTATAAATAGGCCTATCCTTAATATTTTAAGTGTTTCATATGTAAAGATATTTGCTTATTGCTCTACATCTTGTGTGTAGGCTATTATGCAGTGTGTAAGCGAGGCGCAACTCTGCTCTGAAGTTTTGACCGGGTTTGTTTTGGTCTAATGAAAAATCTATTATAGTTTCTTAAAATAGCAACGTGCCAGCAGTGCGCCTCAGAACGCCTTCCTTTTTAGACCAGAACGCCTATGGGCGCACATATAAGCGCAAATGTATTTGCTATTTAAAGAGCGTGGCGCAACGCCTCAAAACGACTCTTGCGCCAAGCTAAAAAGAGCAAACAAGTATTGTGCCACGCCTTGCGCGACATTGCGCTGGGTGTATGATAATGTGATGAGCAGGGCTGGACTGTGACAAAAAAAATAAATAAATCGGTCCTGGCATTTTGGGACAGAGCCCACTACAATCAATAAGAATGCTACCCATCTGTGCTAAGTGTTTTATGGGCCAATCAAATTATAAGAAGATGATCAGCTTGGCCCAAAAAGTATGTCATCAACGTTTAACGCCTCGTGACTAAATAAAGGGCGTCAATGTGATCGTGCACACAACGTGCAAAATGGCAGGCGCAAAAGCGTAAATTAAAAAAAATTGGGTTTGGGTTTGAATCTGGAAAAACATTTCGTAAAAAGCTGACGATAAACGCAAACGAAAAGCGTCCCGGTGTGTATGAGCCTTAAGAGAGAATCAAAAAAGAACAATAAAACAACAATGCTCATTTCTTTTTGTTTTATACTTATTTTTAGTTATTTAATTGTTTAATTTTTTTGGTGAAACACACACACACACATATATATATATATATATGTTGCTTTCATGTTGGTGTTATAGCACCACCTATAGCACCTTCTAGTTTGGATGAATCTTACTGATCATCTTACCAAGTTTTGAGTCTCTAGGCCTTAGAATTTGGTCTGCTCAATCTGTTTTATGGCAGAAGAAAAAAAAAATAATAAAAATACAAGATGTTTGAACCCCTAAATATAAAGCTATTTTACTGGCATCTATTTTGAACCACCTTACATGTTTCGTTCTAAAGTTTTTCAGAGTCAACTTTGAATCAAATAAGACTCTTAAAAATTAAAAGTGGATTATCTCACTCACTTTCCCTGATTATGAGGGGTCACCATAGTGGATTGAACTGCCAATTACTTTGTCCATTGTTTTTATGTGACTTATACCCTTCCAGCTGCAGTGGTTCATCTTCTGCCATGTAAAAACGAATTTTAATTCATCTCTTATACTAGAACCGTTAAACCTATAAGCTAGATCATTTTTAGTCATTCTTTTTGTCTTTTTAACCCCCTTATCAAATGTATCAGGGCCATCATGCTACAGAAACGTCTCTGGACAAAAAAAAAAACCTTAATAAATATTATAAGTAGTTGTCCCCTCCAATTGTTAAACAAAATGTATTATTTTAAAATAAAAATCACTCTTTTGACATAACTACTTTCTTCTTCCTGTTTCCTGTAGATCTTCAGAGGAAATACCATTATTAATCCACTGTTATCAGAAATTTATCATTTTATCTCATTGTGTGAAGCATTAAGTTAGCGACCCTGGTGTGATCACCTTGTAGAAAAATTATAAAACCCTAGAATATATCTACTAATTGTTGTCAAAATCTGATGGATTAATCTACTAAATTTAGTGTGTGAGTATACGGTGATTGTCATGCTGTTCGATACCTTGCAGCAAGCATTTTGTCATTTTTTCCCCATTAAATTGTCACTGGTGTTACTTTTCTAATGGGTAGCACCATTGAAGATATTGTGTTTCTAATGGGTGATTCGTTTGTGTCACTGTCATTATTTCCCTGTCACACTAAACAGTGTGTTGCATAATAATATTAAGATAATCATTTTACATCCATTGATTTCTGCTGCACTCAGTATTTATGATTTCAAGGATGGCATCATCCTTTGACTATAGATGTTTTTTTAAATATTACAATTTTTATAGCAAATGTACAGTAAGTTGCAAAACAACACACGAAATCTGATTAAAAAGAATAAAAAATAAGTCCATTACTTGTAGAATTTTCATTAATTTAAATTCTGTAATTCTGACTACATGTTATTAAAAATGGTATGTGATTTATAAATAAATGTTTAAAAAATATTCAAAAAAATATCTTAGTTATGTGTATTCATGAAATCCCAATATGGTCTAAGTTTTAAATGTTAAAATAAGAAATTGATTTTTATACATTTGCTATACAAAAAGTGCACGTTTACAATAGGTAGCTGAACTTATTTGCATAAAGAACAAGTTAAAATAGCATCATTACTGCGCGTGCGTTTACCTCGTTGTAAAAGTGGTAGCAACGTAAATAAAATGGTTACGACGTCCACTACACGTCATCGCGCTAGAGGTTTGGTAGTTCAGGACCTGTCTCTGGGAATTTTTTCTCTAGGATCTGGCAACCCTTGCCTGCTTTGTCGGGGTGGAGCTGAGCACGTTTGAACTGATTTTTTTCTGAGCTTTTTTGTTTCTCATGTAGTTTTTACAGGGACGAAGTCAATTAATTAAGTGTAAAAACCTTTCATCGAATGAAGGCAGATCCATTTTTAACCCTTTTCTGTGTTTCGGTTTCCCTGAGTGATATCGTCTGGTAACGTAAAAGGGTAAGATCTAGACTCCAAATTAAAAATACTTGTGGGTGTTTGTTTTACCTGTTTATCAGTTCTGAAACTATTAATAAAGCTGTGGGGCAATATAGGCGATTTTTTAATGTATTCACGTGTAAAGTTGTATGTAAAGTTACCTGTTTACCTTTCCCATTTGGATCTGGCAATAGTTATAATCAAGTTAACAATTACAATTAGAACAGCGCAGAAGTTTATTTCTAGATGAGCGATTGGAATTCCTTTCTTTTGCCACAGTAACGTTAGGCTACATATACGAAATAAAAGGACCTGAGAAGACCCAAATACAGTGGCGGAGTTAATACAAGGTCAGGAGAAAATTCTAAATGAATTTATACAGGCTACAATAGGTGCTGGAACAGTTTCTGATGCTATATTCGGAAGCTTTTTCATTATTTTTGAGATTTGTATGCAGATCAAACTCTCTCTGGTTTGTGCTGTTACTATCTCGTTGAGTGTTCATTTTTAACATGTTCAGACAAGTGATGCTGTGCGCCACACATTACTCAGTCAGCATACTGTGTTAAGCAAATGAATAAAATGTACCTTGTAATTTGACAAAGTACCTCTGAATTTTGACGTTTCAGATACGTAGTAGCTTTTTTTTTTATTTGTTTTACATTGACTACCATGGCCAACCCAGACTGTTGTATTTGTAAATGTTGTTTACATTCGTTCTGTTCTGGGAATGTCTGTTTAATTAGCAGATAAACACAAAAAGATGTAGACACATTCATCACATATCCGTCAAAGTATCTGTTTAACTAAAAAACAAAAGGAATAACTTTGAATAGAAACTCACTCCTTATTACATAATGCATTATTTTATTGCAATTTTGTTGTTAAAAAAAAAAAAAAAATATATATATATATATATATATATATATATATATATATATATATATATATATATATATATATGTGTGTTCTAAATGGTATGTTTGAATGGTGTTGTCTCTCTCTCTCTCTCTCTCTCTCTCTCTAGATGGGGGCAAATGAAGAGAAGAAGGAAAAATGTGGGACCATCTGCCTGAAATATCTCCTTTTCACATTCAATTTTCTGTTTTGGGTTGGTATCTCTTAAGTCCAAAAATGATTGAAAAAAGTGTATGCCTGAGCTTCTATATTAATAATAATATTAGCATATATTCTGTACAGTTTACGTTTGAAAGATTTCAGTTTGAAATAATAATGTGTGTGGAAAATCACACTTTCTCTTTCAGGACTGTACCATGTTTAGAGTCTTAAAATATGTCTAATAATATCCGTGCATGGCGCTTGTCCTTTGAGAAAAGCAATGACATGATAAGAGAAGAGGTTCTCAATGTAATGTCATCAAGTTATTACTGATGACTGATTTTAAACTAGGGATGGCTGACATAAAACTGCTATTACGCACTGAAATAACTGCACTGAAGCACAATCCGAAATACCGATGTCACGTAACTAAGGTGACTCAAAACACCCAGGTCACATGACTAAAGCGATGCAAAGCATGTACAAATACTTTGAAATTATGACTTGATGTATTTTATTAATGTTACTTTTTATAAGCAAAATAAGACATATTTATTCACAAAATTTCAACTTCTGTAGCTGAATCTCCCTGTATTCAAACCCATTATCTGTGTATGCCATTTAGGAACTCTCACCACTTTACTAAAGTACTTGAAACCTAAACTATAACGTGGTGTTTATTACCTCAATTTGCTTAACTGTTTCTTTGCTAAAGCTGTTCCAAAACACTACATACAAAATTACCTCTAGATGTCACTGTAGAGTCGTTTTGAAACTTTAACACGTTTGTTTAGATGTTTCATAAAGCCTCACTTTGCCCACAACTATTTTAAACATGTCAATAAATTTCTCATGTATTTGTTGACAAACTAGCGATCTTTGCTCCTAAAGAACTAGACCTTTCTTGGATACTGCTTTTGTACCAAATCATAATTACAATCACCTGTTGACATCACCAATATTTAACCAATTAACCTGATTACTAGCCCTAAATCGCTTCTGTTCCAACTTTTTGTTATGTGTTGCGGATCTGAATGACAGGAAAGGATGTATATTCACAAATGAAAAATAAAGTTTAAAACGGAGATCTGCGTGGGACTAAATTTTTAATCCCGCCTCCCACCTAGGGTTCGGTTTTAGTCCGAACTCGACCACTCCCGCTTATTTAGCATTTGTTTTCCCGCTGTCCGACAATCCAAACAATACGTTTTTTGTGTATGTATTATCTGCAATGAATTTTTTTTTTTTTTTTTGCACTTTCCATACGTCCAAAAGTTTTTTTGATTTGGGGTTATACTTGAAGCTTGATAATTTAATTTTGTATTTATTTGTTTATTTATTTATTTCCAGCTTGCAGGAGTTGCAGTGATGGCTGTGGGCATCTGGACAGTAATTGAAAAGAGCGACTACATTAGTCTGCTGTCCTCAAAGATTTATGCTGTCTCTGCTTATATACTCATCATGGCAGGGGTGATTGTCATGATTACTGGAGTTTTAGGCTGCTGTGCCACCTTCAAGGAACAAAGACGCCTACTGAGAGTGGTGAGAGACATTAGTAATTGTTTACTTTTTCTGGATCACTGTTAAGGGTTGTGTTTCTATTTTTTCTGTTTTCTTTTTTTTTTTTGCATTCTACATTTATCAACCCCATTTAAACTCAGTAAAAATTAAGGAATAAATAACTTTCAACGTGCAACGCTTAAGCATTTGTTTAAAAAGAGCAACATATATCATGCAATAAAAAAAATGCTATAAAAATAAGATATGGATGCACCAGGGTGGACTGTAGACCTAAATAATTCCCATAAAGGAGAGTAAACTCACTGAAGTTATGGACCATAACAATGTGACACGAAAGAAATTAAAATGCATAACTGCACCATTGGTTGGTTCTTGTAAAATGACACGCTGTGGAATTCTGACAAGTTAAGATGTTTTCAATTAGCTGCACTGTAGATGCACCTGGTAAAAGCAGGTTCATTGCACCACATGCATAAACGAAGGGACTGGAGTCATGAAACCATATGATTTGCCCAATCTTTTATGCTTTCTGATTTTCATGATTATTGGGTCCTACCAGGGTTCAATTGACAAAGTTTTACGGGTTCGTCCAAATTAAAAGTGCTTTCTGTGATGTTCTATTTTGTTGTACAGTATGTAGCCTATAGTTATCCAGTTTTTATACATTTTTTAAATATGAAAGAATAACAATAAATAATTTAACTTCCTTAACTTTAAGTATATAGAGAATTAGGAATATGTCATTACAGCACAACACATTCTGGATAGTTTGTCATAGACCAACATATTTGTCAGAAAATCTGGATTCCACTGATATTTTTTGGTTTATTGTATAATACATATACAGAGCTTGGACAATGAAACTGAAACACTGGCTAATTTAATGTTTGGGGTTTTATGGCTAAATATGACCAATCTTTATTGATTGTACACTCCACCAGTATGAGCAGGATGGGAAGGTTTAATTAACAGAGCAATAGCACAGTTTTGCTTGACAAAGATGTTGCTATCCAACATCAATAACCCAAAACAAATCATCAAAGAAAACAGAATCATTATCAATGTGTGCTGGCCAGGATGTCTTCTGATGATTCATTGCTGGTTCTTCTTCATTCTGATCGGTTGATCAGCATTCCACTGAGGTTATGAGTTGAAATTGTTCAGAATATAAAGATGAATATAAAGTGATTTGATGATGAAATTCTCTTTAGAGTGAGAAGGCTAAAGCCTGCCCTAAGGACTTGGGTCATATTTTGGCTGGTGACCGAGTGAATCAGGACTGAGAGTTAAAGAATGAAGAAGAGCAAAAATATAAGACAATGTGAATTGGTCATGCCTTCCTTAAATAGGGTTGCTGATGTCACAACTCAGGGGCTGAGTTGGCCAATGGGAAGTTGCCTTCTAGCTAGTTTTGTGGTTTCTTGTTCATGTCTTGTGATTTACATATGCTTGTTGGATAGTGCTCATAGAAAAAATGTTAAGATTTTATAATCTTAACGTAATCTTAAAGTACCAAAATGCAATGCATGCAGTTATTCTTTAAACCACATTAGCTGTGCATACATACCAGTGTTTCCCCTACCATTATATAAGGAAGCGCCCTGCCCTTCCAATGGCTGTAGTCACCACCCTTGAAGTCACATTAATTGTATTATCTATATAGCGCTAGATCACAACTTAAAAAAAAACAAAAAACTAAATAGCCGTATGTAATATCTTATTTACACAACAGCGTGTCATTTCTATTCTGCTCTTGCATCACTGCAGCTAAATATATACAGATGCAGGCATCCCAAGTCTCTTGAAAGTTCCGGGATCCTCCGGCTAATGCATAGAGACACTTGGATGCTCGCAAACAAAATGCTAATCTCCCGGAAATTGCGCATCCCCCGCCCAGTCCTCAAATTCATCCCACATCCCTCCCCGCTCGTCGCCCACATCCCATGCTGTGATCCAAGCGGAGCTATCTCTATCTATTGTCTAGTTATGACCTCTTCCGGAAGCTCTGTGTGTCTTTTGCAAATTTATACCAACTCTGTAATCCCCCAAAATGAATTAAAATACCTGGAAATCATGGTGACGAGAGTGAATGAGCAAGTGAACAGATCACTAGAGGCACAGTGATGATCTAAACATGAGGGGTCCACACTCGGTCCTGGAGGACCAGTGTTCTGCAGTTTACTTTCAACCCCAATCAGACACACCTGTGTTAGCTAATTAAGCTCTTACTAGGCTTTCAAGAAACATCGTTGCAGGTGTGTTTAGGCAAGTTTGAGGTAAAATCTGCTGCCCTCCATGGCCATGTTTGGACACCTCTGGTGTCTCACATTACATTTGATAGGTTGAATGGAGCAGTAAAGATATCGTGAGTGCAAATCCCTCTCTCTCTTTCAGAGTTATCTGCTGTCAATAGTTGTTGACGAGCAAATTATTTAAATAGTCTTGAATGTATTTAGGCCTTTTTACATATATATTAACTGAAAGTTGTGTTTTTGACAATGTTACAAATCCACTAAAAGTTTGCTGGAATTATTAGATAAAACTTTTTATTACATAAATATTTAATAGTATAACTTCTTGTAATCTTGTTTTATGAGACATGTTTAATAAATTTCTCAATAAATGGGCCAGGCATTTCTGACTTTCCATACCAAGAGGCTCAAGAAATGTTCTTCCAGAAGCCCATAAAGATACATTGCAGTAACAAAAGCTGCACAGTTTCTTAATAAAATAGATATAAAATAAATGTTAATTTAAAATTTACAAACGGTTGTACAGTTCAAATAGTTGCTCAGTTATTTACTGCTGTCATTATAAGACCATGACTCCTTGTGTCAGTGTGAGTCTGAAAGGCCACGCTGAGTTGGGCCACGTCACGCCGCAGCCTCAATCCTCCATTTTGTTTGAGTGCAAGTTGTTAAGCAACACTTCTAAGGGTTTTAATACCAAGAAGATTGATATACCATCAGTAAATCATCAATCAACTCTATTTAGCACAGAGATAGTATTCTACCTAGGTCACAAAGAATATGAAAATACACAAGCACACAAAAACATCACACATTCTAGAATATGATTATAGATATTTTTAAAAGGTCAAATTCTGTGAGTGGTTCACATGGTAAAGGCTTTGAGGCATGTCAATCAAGATTGTTACCATTGTAACTCAAATTTGGGTGTGGGTCTTATCAGTTGGCTTCAGAGAGAGCTTCTTAAAGTTGACGTAACAATGAAATATGTATGTTTGATCTTCCTCCATCTCTTACAGCAATATTTAATACTATTCTGTTATAATGCATTATTTTGTTAAAAAGATCATCAGGTGTATGTCTAATAATGGATGGTGTGGCATCACTTTTTTAACAAGTTATTAAAATTAAGTTGTCTCAAAACCAATCAAGCTTTACATACTGTCTAAATGTGTTCCCCTTGGTCCATTTATTTACACAATAAAATATAAACTAATAGCAGTGTTTCAGTTTACAAGGCTCTGTTCACTGTAGTTCAAGCAATTTGTCAAGACTGGGCTATATTTTTCTCTTTTTTTATTATTATTTAGTATTTTATTTATATGCTTGGGATTTTTGTTTAGGTCCAGTCCCAATTTTATTTTTGTACCCCTTTCCCTTCCCCTTGGCCCTTAAAACTGAGTGTTAAGGGGAAGGGCTTCAAAATGTACCCCTAAGAATTGGGACAGCTCTACAGCACTTTCATATGTCATCAGACTCATCACAGTTTCTTGTTTCTTATGTGATCAGACGATCGCGACTGCTGTAGTTATTCCAGTTGTTTTATTTTTTGGTATTTATCTTCAGGAAATCACTGAAGGCATATACTATGTTATAATAACGACCTAATGTGGCAATAAGATTGTAACTGTACTGCGCATTTTCAAAGTGGCCATATTCATCTATGTAACGTAAACACACCAAAGCAACATTAACATTATAGCCGACACTGTAAAAAGCCCATTCACAGCCACTAGACTTTTCTGACAGGATATTCAAGTGTCAATCAAGTCCCAGAATGTTATGGGACTGCTATACAGGAGTTATTATTAGGGATTATAGATTTCTATTTTAGCAGTAACATGGTTATGAATAAATTTAAACTTATGTTTTTGTCGTAAAATTTTGTAATAACAACAAACAAAAATACTAATTTGTGGATCTCCTCACTTCCGGGTGCAACTGTGTCTGGTGTATTTTGGGAAATTTTTTTACTCTTTGGTTTCGAGTGTGGTCCTGAAAAATCTTCATTCAAAGGGGTATCTACCTCTTGCCCTTAGCCCTACTCCTTAAAGCTAAAGAGAATTGGGACACCCCTACCCCCTCAAAGGAACGAGCAAAACGAGGGGAAGGGCTAAGGGGTAGAATTGGGATTGGGCCCAAAAGTACAATGGGAGTTAAAGTAAATGTCAAATGTTTTAATCATCTCATTATGTCTATAAAAACATTCAGTTGTTTCTGTAACACTTAAAATGCAATTGAGTGCAAGATGGGATATTTATAGTACATTATGACAACATTTGTAAACGTGTCATTATTTAGTTGACTTTGAAAACGTCAAGACTATGAATGGATTATTTAAAGCAGTCAAAGTTCTAGATGTTCTTTGAAAAAAATGTTGATTTATTTCCTCCTTTTTTCAGTATTTTGTTTTACTGCTGTGTATATTTCTGCTGGAGATCCTGGCTGGAGTTTTGGCCTACATTTATTACCAACAGGTTAGTTATTTATTATGCTTTTTTTCATTCATTGGTTGCTATATGTTTGTGTTCAATTTTATGCCTGGTTAATCTTTAGCTAAATGACGAACTGAAAGAGAACCTGAGGGAGACAATGGTTCAGAAATACAATCAGTCTGAGCAGGAGCATGTAACTAAGGCTGTGGACAAGTTACAGCAGGAGGTGGGACAGCTACACTATTTTTTTTTAATTTAGTATTTACCCAAGAAGTGTTGTACTAAAGTTTGCTTGTCCTTCTGTCAGTTCAAATGTTGTGGCAGTAACAGCTCATCTGATTGGGTGGACAGTGCTTGGATCCGCTCTAGTGAAGCTGATGGTCGATTGGTTCCTGACAGTTGCTGTAAGAGTCCAGTCAGAAAGTTCTGTGGTCGGAGAGACCACCCCTCAAATATATATAAAGTAGAGGTGAGTCTCATACATCTCACTCATACACTATGTACTGTGGGGGAAATCGGGGCACCCACGGGAACACGGGGAGAACATGCAAACTCCACACAGAAATGCCAACTGGCCCAGCCAGAACTCGAACCAGTGACCTTATTGTGAGACGACAGTGATAACTACTGAGCCACTGTGCCACTTTTACATCATAAACCATAACATTGTATAACAGTCCTACTAAAAGATTCTGATAGCTGTTTATATGTATAGCTTTCACATAAATTTTGTTAAAGGGGTGGTCCACTACGATATCATATTTTAAACTTTAGTTGATGTGTAATGTAGCTGTGTTAACATGAACAACAGCTCTGTATGTAAAACGCTCAAAGATCAATGCAAAAGGAGACATTGGCTTTTACAGAGTTAGCTTAGCAAAAATACATTCTGGCTATGTGAGATCACAAAGCTTCAGATTATGTGCATTTACCTCGAGCACACAAGCGCTGTAATGTTAAAGCAGGGAATGCTAAAATGCCATTCAAAGGCTGCTATTTCTAAAGAGCTTGTTCTGTTTCTGTATTTAGGCTTTCAAAGGACATGACACAAAGACAGAAGTTTTTACAATTTCATTTGAATTATGTTCCAAAGAATTATATTTTAAAAAAAAAAGATATAGCGCTTGCATTTGATAAAGGAGATCTTCCAGAATCTCTCCCAGTTCAGTGCTATATTCAGCTAAAACTCCTCCAACAGATGATGCTGTGGATATTGAGCCACAACCTGTAAGTATTTTTAGTTGTTAAAACTGATCAACTACAGGCACAGTTTCTAGCATTAACAGTGGTTTTTTAGCGAGGATGTAAACAAGGATGTGAACAATGGAAATTGCTGTTTGGCACCGCTAAAAATTTAGCTACAAGTTCATATTCATCAGCCAAACCAGCCACAATCAGCCACAACATCAGCAGCGCGTGCAGTCTCTCTCTCTCTCTCTCTCTCTCTCTCTCTCTCTCTCTCTCTCTCTCTCTACGTGTCTCTCTATGTGGCTGCTTTCCGTGCATACTACATAATCTTTACAAAAGATATGGTAATGTTTTATATTACTTACACATGCTTATTTTGAATATACTCTATGTGAAAGACACTTGTCAGAGTTCATTTTAAAGAGCAGGCATGAGCTGTGTGCTTTTTATTTCTGTCTGATTCAGGCAGCTAACGCTGCTAACAGCTGCTCTGAGCCTGTGACTGGACTGTTTACACTGCTCAAAAGCATGACCTTGTAGGGGAGTGACGTGTAGCCGATCCGCGAATCACAGTACATTATGTTAGGACCAATCAGAGCCTCTTGAGGGCAGGCCTTTTAGAGGAACTAGGAAATATGTCGTTTTCATGTTAGCTGAGTAGCTGTATATAATCAAAGTAAGATATATAAAAAAATAACATGATTTTCTACAAGTGAAGCATGAGCACACATTACTGTGCATTTTAGAAACACAACCAAGCCTTAAAAATACACTCTGGACCACCCCTTTAATTTTGTAATAAACCATTTTGTTTTTTGTTTGTTTTTTTGACAACCTGCTACTGGGAAACACTCTCACACTCGTACACTATGGCCATTTTAGTTTATTCAATTCATTTGTAGCACATGTTTTTGTACTGTGGGGGAAACTGCAGCACCCGGAGGAAACCCACTCGAACACGGTGTTCATTAACTGATCATTAAGCAACTTTATTCTAATAAATTACAATTAATAAATGTGTTTTAGTTATAGACGTGATATGTTTTGTTATTTTACTATTTAGTTTTTTTGCAAGATCAGGGGCCTGTTTCAGAAAGGAGGTTTAGTGAAAACTCAGAGTATTTTAACCCTGAATTGAGAGAAACTCTGGGTTTTCCATTTCAAAATGGCAGGTTTGTTAAACTCAAGAAATCAGGGTAAGTCAAGCCTGTTTCTGAATGAGAGGTAACCTTAACTCAGAGTCAGTTACTGTGGTAACTTACTCTGTGAACCTAACCTGGTCCGGAGCAGGTTTTATTCTCTAAACTCTGAGTTTCTGTCGGTCTCCTCCCCTTTTTTAAAGATGAAGCGTATTTCTCGCATTAGCCTTACGTTTCCACACACCTATTTTAGAGCTCATTTTGGAGATGCCCATAAAAACGATTGATGGAAACGTCATGATTCACATAACTTTTGAAAATTCGCATAATAAAACATGTGCATTACTGAGGTTAAACTTTTATTTGATAAGATGCACATAAACTACGAAGTGCACTTAACAAATTACAGTATGAACATTAAAAAAAGTTTGTTAAATGTGTGTGAATGGACAAACCAGCAGACTGAGCACACTGTAGAACATCTTAAATGTTGTTTTAGTCATTCTAAAATGCCTTAACTGTTTCAGTATCAGTGTATATTATTAATTACCGCCGAGCATCTGGAGCGTGTCTCCTCGTCTCATGGCTTCAAACGCCCCCACGTGTTCATTGTGTGTCAATTGTCTTCTGAGGCGCAAGTACATTAATTAAATAAAAAATCATTGACGCAGCTTATTCTACCACAGTAAATTCTGTTTTTACTGTTGATATTTGGCGCAAGTTAATCAGGAAGTGACGATTGTGTTCTCTTCGACTCTTTGGATAAAAACGCTGCTTTATTTTTAGGCGTTATTCCAGTTTTGCACAAATTTATGTAATAGCCTATATTTTGATGGAAACACAGCTATTGCCTACATTTTTGTCACACACAGAACAAAGTCACATACAAGGCTTGTCCTTTTTTTCATAAATAATTAGTTTAACCTTCGACATGCACTGTTACTAAATTAAAGGGATTATTATTCTGTCTAAAAATTATTTTATTACTGCTTACCTTCTTAATGTTATATAAACCTCTATCACTTGATCAATAAAAAGGCAGACACAGATCAAGTGCACTGTTAAATCTATTAAAACTGATAAAAGTGTATAAAAGTTTAGAAAAAAAAGTAGGCTATAAACAACACACATTACATTACTTATTTTATTATACTTAAATGTTTAAATAGCCTACTTAAAATGAAAAATTACACATTAACTTGAGCAGCTGTTTTCCCACGCTAACTGTCTCTGTTTCACTGATGGTTGCTTCTTTTTAAATATATACACTCATATTTGCTATAACTTTGCATGAGCAGATCAAGTTCAGCCGGAGAAAGAAATGGTGATCTCTTTTTTTTAAGATGTTGCCATAGTCACTCATAATATCTGCGCTCAATTGATAATGCCTTTTTATAGTCACGGTTTGCGCGCTTAACTCTGAGTTGGTCTACTCAAAGTTGATTGACCCAGCTCATATCAGCTATTCTGAAACCGAAAACTCAGAGTTTTTAATCTCTTGGTAAATCAACTCAGAGTTCAAGTTTAAACTCCGAGTTGTTTGAACCTCCTTACTGAAACAGGCCCCTGTTCACTCAAATAAACTGCTGTTTTTATTAATTTTATGGTCATTTATATATATATATATATACACACACACACACAGTTGAAGTTAGAATTATTAGCCCCCCTAAATTATTAGCGCCCCTGTTTATTTTTTCCCCAATTTCTGTTTAATGGAGGGAAGATTGTTTCAGCACATTTCTAAGCATATTAGTTTTAAAAACCTATTTCTAATAACTGATTTATTTTAGCTTAGCTATGATGACAGTAAATAATATTTTACTTGATATTTTTCAAGACACTTCTATACAGCTTAAAGAGACATTTAAAGGCTTAACTAGGTTAACAAGGTGAAAGTTATGGCATAATTTTCATTTTTGTGTAACCTTTTTTTTTTTCTTCCTTCTTTGTAAATAATTGGATGCTTGTTATCCAGTTGAAACTTTGTTTTCTGTCATTGACTTTTTCTTTTTGTTTTTTAGGGTGGTTGCATCACAAAGCTGGAGAACTTCATTCTGAATCACTTACAGATCATTGGTGCAGTTGGGGTGGGCGTTGCCTCTGTGCAGGTCAGACTTTAAAATGTGTGCTTTAACTGTGTTTTCGTGTAGATACTATTTTAAGTTTGCTGTAAATGTATAAAATTAAACTATTTAGATAAAGTTAAATACACTTTAGATAAAGTTAAATACACTTTAACTTTATTTATGGTTCAAAACTTATGACTCTGGTACCTCTGATTGAAAATACCATGTCTTAATGCATTGGTCAGATGTAAATTTGTGAGTATATCACAATACTCAGATTTGTGATCACTGCATTTGCTTTTGTCTTCTAAAATGACCTATTTCAAAATTTTGCACTTTAAATTTTGCCATATACTGCATTCATTAAATAAGTTAAATTGTTCTCTGATCTGATCTCTGAGTCTACATAGTAGATATGTGACCTAGAAAAGTTAAAAAAATCTATAATCAATAAGGACTGTCCTTATTTACTATATTTGTAAGGACTGGGAATATTAATGAGCTCGGTTCTGAGCATCTCTGTTGTTTCTCCATTTCACTCTCTCTCTCCCATGTGCACACAAACACGCACACAGCATTGTGTACTCTAAAAGTGCAAAATAATACTTAATTTATCAAACTGTATTTTAACACAGTTGAAATATAAATATAAAAAACTAAAACAAAGCTTTCTAATTTAAAGAACCAGACAGAGTAACCTATTCTGTTCTCAACCGAGATGTATTTTGTTGTTGTTGTTGTTGTTGTTGTTGTTGTTGTTGTTGTTTTTTGAAGCTATAATATAAAGCCTGGGGGCTATTTCATAAAAGTGGTTAAGAAAAGCAGGGATTAAAGTCAAAAGCCCGACTTCAATGAGCTGAACTAAACGTCCACGTTTAAATTGGTTCCATAACAGCAAGTTGAAGATCATTAGATCTAACTAGTCTGAGTTCAGTTTAAATAATCTAGATAACTGCTCGTGCATGTTTCTGTCGTGAAACCTTAAAAGTCGAGCATAGATACATCGATTATGTTGTGTGCTACCTTGGCAACTTCGAGAACTGAAAGAGCTCTGAAATTAGACACTGCTGTGTTCACAGCGAATGAGCCGTGAAACTGCAGATTGTTCAATAAGCTACATTAGTAGCAATATATTTTTTTAAATATATGCTATTATTTAGGCCTGTTAACATGAAATTAAATATTTGTTATAAAACATAGTAATTGTGCTTGACCGCGCGCATGTGCCAGAGATAGAGAGGATTTGCACTTACTGACAATTGTTGCTTGCAAGGAAAAGTTTTAATGCATTGCAGGCTCACTAACATACAAAATGTTTTAAATGTAGGCACATAGGTTTAAATAAACAAAGAGACGTGCACGCACAAGGGGGTGGGATTTTGAATTTTCCCCCGAATCTGCTGCAAATCGTTGCTTTCCCTTTACCACTTGTTTCCCGTGTCCCGTGGGAAAATATCTTTACATTAAAGTGACGCTGCTGCTCAGCACGGATCATGTCCTGATTATTCCACTCATTTTACAGCTTTAAAGTCATTATTTAAGAAATGTGGTCTTCTTCTTTAAATTAGTCAGTGTCTTTCTTACCCCCGTGCTGCGTGGGTTTTCTCCAGGTGCTCCGGTTTCCCCCAAATCCAAAGACATGAGGTATGCGCTATAGGTGAATTGAATAAGCTAAATTGGCCATA